GAAGAGAAATGTTGGCTTGGTTACAAAGGAAAAGAGGGTTGCTGGAGTCTGGCGCGTCGGCAACGGCGCAGAAGTGCCCGGGTCCGCCTTGCTCAGAACCTCTGTTGCTGAGAAGCTGGGAGTGATCCTGAAGGCGCTGCTTCATACGGCAGCGGAGGAGAAGTTGACGAGAGAGGCTGCCACCGCCCCCAATCATCCTCCACCAGTCAAGTCCAGCGCAGGCATCCCGACAGGGGGAGCCTGCCCAAGCTAACGCGAGGCGCACCCGACAGACACCCCGTTCACTGCCCTACCTCGATTCAAAGCGGTTCACAGCGCGATCTTACTCCCGCTCACTCAGAAGGCAGTCCCGCGGAGCTTCAAGGGCGCATTTCTCCCGCGCAGCCTTTTTTTTGGGGGGGGGTGTTAATATTTGACGGGGACATGATGGGCTGTGTGTGAGAGCTGTTAAGATCTGGGAGAGATCTCAGACCGATGAAAGAGGCGAAAAAGAGACAGGGTCCGATGTGGGTAAACGTAGAAAGTAGTATTTTTTTTAAATCCGAGGTGATTAATGCCAGGATGCTGCTGTTGTATTCGTTATGCATCGCCATCTGCGTGCATGCCCCGAGGACCTTACAATCTAAAATACTCCACAGAGGAAAGAGGAAAGAGAACGGCGGGAAGGGGGTACAAGGCTCAACCGGGAAGCCGTAGAAGGGTGCAAAAGTTAAAACACGAGCCAGTGATCGTGCGTTAGGAACCTCACCCGTCTTGCCCACCAGAGTAAAAGATCAGAGGAAACTAGTCACCGGAATCCTCCGGCACCTGCCTCGTCTAGTTAGGGAGTCTTCCCGCGGAGAGCCTCGTACGTCCCTCCTCCTTCACCGCCCCTCCATTAGTGGGGAGGGAGGATTCAACACGAAACCCGGAGCGTGGGGTATTTAGGGGTGGGGGAGGGGGACAGCACATCCAAGCGCAGCTGAACCTAATTTGACGGAGGTACAGTAAGCCCGCTTAATTATGTACATATTATTACATTATCTATCAACCATTCCATCAGAAGAGCATCAAGGGCAATAAATTACCCGTTATTTATCTAAAAATCCATATATTCTGTCATCTTTTTTTCCTGGAGGATATTATGTTAGTGAAAGATAATAAAGGAAAGCCCATTAGCCCGGGCATTAAATTGTCACTGAGTGCAACAAGCATTTCACTAGCGCAGATAAATAAGAGAAATCTGCATACCGCCTCCGGGCCCCCCCTCCGTGGCTCGCCATTAAGCGCTCCAGCCCTTCAGTTTAGGGCGTAGAAGGGGAAGGGTAGCTCTCAGCCAGGCAGGGAGGAAGGCGGGGAGGGAAGTGGAGAGGAAATCCTAGCTGGCTTAGCAGTGGGAACGATGAAAAGCCTAAAGATTAAAAGTTTTTTTTTAAAAAAAAAAGGTGTCTTGCTTTTGACTGATTAAATGGTTATCTATTTATCAGCTCCTCCTTTAAAAAGTTAGCACGTGTTAGCCAGATCTCACATGAAAGTCCAGGCACCTCGCCCCTCGCATCCTTATACTACAGTACATTCCAACCCCCCCCCCCCGGTGGGATCTGAATGCCGTCTCCTGGGTAAGTTGAGTGACATGTTCGTCAGCCGTAGGCTAGGCCAGGGATGTCACCGAGACTTCCTTCCCGGTCTCCGTGTTCAAGACTGCGCTGGGATCACAGTAGTCTTGTTTACTTGCCTTCCGAATTAAAAAAAAAACACGCACATTCCCATTCTTCCCAGTTAATTGAAGAATAGGCCGGAGCTCAGCAAGGGATTAAGTCTACTCTTCAGCAATTTTTAATTTGTTTTATTTTTATTTTTTGATTGTTAAACCGACAGATCAGTTCGCCAGGATCCACTCAGATACTATTCAGCCTCTCCAAAGGAGCCATAAACGATCTGGGGCGTTGGTTGAAAAATCAAACTGAGGAGAGACGCCAACAGAGCCATCAGGATGAAGATGAGTCAACTTCGGTAATTCTGTCTTTCTCCCTTCTCTTCGTCTAGGCCAGCACTTTCCGCGTAGCAAGCCCGTGTGGGGCGACAATGAGTCAGGTCTCTATCTGGCCCCCTCCAACAGCCCAGGGATTTCTCCCCTCTTTAACCCCCCCCACCTCCCCCGTCCGCCTTTTCCCTCTGATTTTGGCACAGGGTTCGGTTTCCCGTGAGACAGTGCAAGGCAGCGAACGGAAAAGAAGGGCCCCTCTTAATCAGATCAATTTAAGGACATATTGAGGTCATATAACCGCGTACATAATCTCAAGTGCTCGGCCTAACAGGCGGCGGGGATCCGGGCCCCCGTTTTATTGTTGGTCGGCGCCTCCTGCGCGGCTCTATTTTACAGGATTCCTCCGGGCTAAAGTAATAAAGCGGGTAATTAGAATGCTAAAGACAGATGTAAATAACGGGAATGAGAGCGCGCTGACAGATGAGCGCCGAGGTCAGGGGGAGGCAGGCAGGCAGCCCGCGTGGTGGCAATGACACGGTGCCAGTGGCCCGAGGCGACGGAGTTGGGTTAATTAGTTTATTAAGGTTTTTGAAAGCTCACCTTAAACAAATTTAGCCATTGGTATGCTTGTGCTTAAAAATAAAGTGCTGATTAATGCCTTTATTCTACAAAGAAGCTTGATATGTTTTGCTTATACTTAGGAACAGCTGGTATTGACTGGTGGGAGTGTTACCCTTATGGTGCCCAGTTAAACATCACAAAAAAAAAAAAAAAAAAAAAAAGGCCAGGCAGCCTTTCGACCCATTGCCAGAGCGGCTGCGGCGGCGGGGGACGACGACAAGGGAGTCCAGTTTCGTCAAAGGAGTTTCCTTTCGGCGCGCCTCTGTAGCTCTGCTCTCCCGGTCAGGACATCTGAGGTGAAAGAAGAGCCCCTCATGCGCACCGGCAGACGGAAAAGGCGCACGGAAGGCCTCGGCGGGAAGGCTTCCGTGACCGCCTTGAAGGAAAATGTGTATTTCCTTTCCACCCCCTCTCATTAAAATTACCTGGCTTCGGAAGGAGCATCCGGGTTGGGAAGCAAGGGCCTTCACCGCCAGCTGCAGGGACTCCTTTCCTTTGGCCTTGGGATCACTTCCCACTTCTGTTTACACAGCAAAAGAAATGGGTGGGGGTGGGGGAGCACTGAGGGCAGAAGGCTAGAGGAAGATGAAGGTTGTGGGCAAGTCTGGGTGGCGGATCGTTTGGATGTAAATTGTGCTTTGGACAGGGCCAGAGCTGGATGGGTGTGTGGTTCCTTCTGGGTTTTATGGGCTTTGCAACATGTCAAGGCTCCCTAAAATTACCCCTTCCCTTATTTTGGCTTAATCCCTGGACCTTGGCCACTGGTATACACACTTCCCAAAATTAATCCCTGTGCCAAAAATGGCAACTCATAATACCTTTGCCCTGTTAGATCTGTCGCATGAGGGCCATGCTGGCCTTGATTGCCACTCGCTGTTGAGAAGGCCAGCCTGGCCCACACCCTCTCCCAAGTCCTGAAACTCAAGGCAGGACAGCAAGCTAGGCCTTGCAACGTGAGAGGCAAGTCCATAAACTCACCATTCACCCGTACAGCACCAGTAAGGAGCCAGTTTACTAAGATGGTGTTATAACAGACTGAAGTGGAAATAGAAGTAGGAAAGTTGAGAGTGTTACAAGTAAGTATTGGCTGAAATTCAATGGGCCTACAGTTAGGGTGGACCTATTAAATCAATAGGAATTTGTTGAGTCAACTCCTCCATAACTTCTATTGATTCAATTAAACTTTCTCTAGTTGTGACTTAATACTGGATTTTAGCCATTATTTTTACAATTTACTAGTCTTCTAAAACCGTTTGTTTCCCAACACTTACTTCTGTCGTGTAACATGAATGCCACCCATTCTCAGAGGGGCTGGTAAGAAATCCAGTGTCATGCTTACAAAACTTCTGTAGTATCAGATTATTCAACTACAAATGAGAAACACACTGATTTTGTAATTTGGCTGAGTTGAAGATGTCTGCAGTATTTTGTAATGGTATCAGGTATATAAGAAATGGGAATGATTTGCATGACCTTTTCTTCAAGTACAAGAGATGCTGCTACATGTTCTGATAAGTTGGGGTACCGACATATTAAGAATAGTTAAGTATTCCGCAGTCAGTCCAGTTATTTGCAGCTGTTGGACTTAACCACCTTATATAGCTTATTTTTACACACTTTGCTTTTCTTCTGTATAGCTTATTATGCTCATGGGTAACAGCGTTCCGTGTCTAAGTCGCACTGGCCATGTGACCATGGAAGATTGTCTTCGGACAAAAACCTGGCTCTATGGCTTGGAAACGGGGATGAGCACCGCCCCCTAGAGTCGAACACAACTGGACAAAAATTGTCAAGGGGAACCTTTACCTTTACAAGTACAAGAGATGCTGCTACATGTTCTGATAAGTTGGGGTACCTTCATATTAAGAATAGTTAAGTATTCCTCAGTCCAGTTATTTGCAGCTGTTGGACTTAACCACCTTATATAGCTTATTTTTACACACTTTGCTTATCTTCTGTAAACAGTAACTTATTATGTTCATTCCTTTTGTTTTATTTCCACTTCTTTACCTTTGAATGCCACTACATGGAATCATGTTTTAACAGTTTTTTGAAGGAATTGTTGCAGGTCAGAAGCAGGTGAAAGAGTACTAATGGATGCTCTTTTGTTCAAACCATTTTTCCTTACTAAATAACAGAATATTGATTGCTTTCAGCATCAGTCAAAATGCTGCAAAGATTCACCCAGAATAGTTAAGTATTCCTCAGTCCAGTTATTTGCAGCTGTTGGACTTAACCACCTTATATAGCTTATTTTTACACACTTTGCTTATCTTCTGTAAACAGTAACTTATTATGTTCATTCCTTTTGTTTTATTTCCACTTCTTTACCTTTGAATGCCACTACATGGAATCATGTTTTAACAGTTTTTTGAAGGAATTGTTGCAGGTCAGAAGCAGGTGAAAGAGTACTAATGGATGCTCTTTTGTTCAAACCATTTTTCCTTACTAAATAACAGAATATTGATTGCTTTCAGCATCAGTCAAAATGCTGCAAAGATTCACCCAACCTACACAAAC